CAAGCTGCTTGTAAGTTGCTTGTAAGCTGCCACTGTACCAGATATAGATAATCTTCTACTAGGGGTAATATTTATCCATAACGGAGTACCGAAATGATAAGCTTCTTCAGGAGGCTTATTTCCAATAGAGTACTAAATAGATAAACATGTTTACGGCGGAGTCCCATATGGATAAGCTTCTTCAGGAAGCTTATTTACAATGGAGTACTAAATGAACATCCATAATATAATATATATTTATAACACTCCCCCTTGGATGTTCATTGTGCCTCATTAAAAACCTTATAAGGAAAACCCCATGGAAAAAAATCTTAGTAAGGAAAAAAGAGTGTATCGTGTATTTTACTCCCCTTGATGAAAATCTTGTTTCAAATATTTGAGTCTCCGCATTCCAATCTTGTATACCATCTTCTCAAAAGTTGAATTTGTAGGGAATATTATCCACCAATATTTCAGATCGATTTAAATTAATCTCATCAGACCAAGAGCTGTTGCAAGTCATTTCATTGAGCTGCTTGCAACCTGCCTGCATCATCTGCTTGTAGATAAACTTCAATGGAGTACTTAATGGATAATCTTCTTTGGGAAGATTATCTACAGCGAAGTAATAAATGGACATCCACAGTAATATTTTCATAACACTCCCCCTTGGATGTTCATTATTATGTGCCTCGTTAAAACCTTACTAGGAAAAACCCCGTGGAAAAAAATCCTAGTCAAGAAAAAAGAGTACACTATATATTGCAAGCTGCCTCATTAAAAAACTTACCAGGAAAAACCCAGTGGGAAAAAACCTGAGCAAGGGAAAAAGATTACAGTGCATACTTTACTCCCCCTGATAAAGACTTGGGTATTCAGGTTCAAGGAGTTCATCATGCTCTTCTGGAGTTAAGAACAAATCCTTATTCACTTCAAGTGATCGAACAACCATTGGTGTACTCAATGGGTGCGCTTTGTCCATGTAAAAGTGTTTTAAGACCCTTTCTGTATAGGCAGATTGATGGATAAAGATCTTGTCTGCTAAATGTTCAATTTGCAGACCAAGACAAAGTTTTGTCTTTCCAAGATCTTTCATCTCAAATTCTTTCTTAAGATATCCAATTGCCTTTTGGAGCTCTTATGGAGTTCCAACAAGATTTATGTCATCAACATAAACAGCAAGTATATCAAATTCTAAATACATGGACAAATAACATCATTTATGTAACTTTCTTTCAGCAAATGTTCATTGAGGCGATTATACCACACGCGCCCTGATTTCTTTAAACCGTACAAAGATCTTTGTAATTTGATTGAATACATTTCCGGAGATTTTGAAGTTGCTTCAGGCATTTTAAATCCTTCAGGGATCTTCATATAGATTAATCAAATGATTCATATAGGTTATGACTTACATTTAAATGGCATGACATCTTCAGGTGTCTGGACTACAGGTCTGATCCTCACAATCTTTTACAATATTGTGCACTATATTGTATCAAATATATCGTCGACAATCATTTTGTATCGATTCCTAAGCGACATAACTTGTTGAGATCTCATTACTTTCTTTATTTTCAGGTACCTGAACTTCTTCTGGAGTTTCATGAAATGTTATGTCGTGGGCTCTTCTAGAGCTTATTTCCTCCTTATTATGATCATTTTGATCATTTGCTCCTATCCTTTTCAAGGATTGTTACCTTTGGAACCGATTGGTCTACCACGCTTCATGCGTACAGTAAACTCTATCCTTCATGGACTTTAATTTTACTAGGAGCATTTGCAGCTGAAATATGATACTTAATTTTGGATCAACAAATGCTTCTAGCATTTGACTAGAATTATCTTCTGAGTGAGGGTCATACTAATGATAATTCGATTCATATAACATATTTTTTAGTTGTTTATTCCATCCCCTAAATGTTAGAAAAACTAACATATAACCCCAATCTTCTTTGGAAAACATATCTTTGTGTATTGTGGTAGAGAAATTAATCATATACCCCACATCAAAAGATAGTAAAAATATTTGGTTTCTGATCCTAAACTAATTGTGAGGAGAGGACTTATCATATATTGTTAGTATGATGCATACAAGTGCTGCTATATGCAATTTAGAAAATCTTAGACCAACATATGAAGCTTTGTTCTCATAAGCAATGGTTTAGCTATTAATAGGAGATATCCAATGCTAAACCAACTTGGATATAAACCAGCATTATCAAGATGAACTGTCTTGATTTCATAATCTGAAAATTATGCTCTTAATTGAGAAAAGCAATTCCAAATGTCAAACTGCAGGTTGACAATAAACATCATGTAACCATCTTATATATGCATCTATAAGTGGTTCACATGATAGGTGAATGGGCCCATATTCACCTTTTATATATTCCAGGATTTAGGGGTCTTGGTCCCAACTTTAGCTAGTATAATCAATTTATTATGAGAACAAGCAACACAGGAGAATTCTTGAAGAATCTTCTAGTTCTTCAGTATATGCTTATCTGAATTCTCAAATAGCTCATTTAAAAATGGCAAATGAAAACTTCAAGTTTATCATAGCATGTGCTATTTCTTAGTAAACTTCTGGTTTACTATGACATAAACTTTTGCATTAGTAAACTTCTGGTTTACTGAACTACTTTTGTATTAGCAAATTTCTGGTTTACTGTAGCTACTTTTGCCTCGGTAAAACTTCTGGTTTACTGTGACGGCTTTTGCATTAGTAAACTTCTGGTTTACTGTGATAAATGACGCAGTACAAATTGAAGAATAAGGCCGGCAACTTCTCATATATATATATATATATATATATATATATTACTTTACCCCATATGATTGTGGAAACGTGAAGATTTTCAATCTTCCAATCATTTTTGTAGTCTCAATATGATAGTCATTTGTATTAGTAAACTTCAGGTTTACTACAACATATGTTTTGACCATAATCATATAATATGAATGACATATTTGTATATATGCTCTTCAAGAATATTCATTCATTATCCACAATCTAATATTTATCGGACACTACTGGTGTCATATGTCTTCTAGACAAACAGATAACTCTTCGGGAGCTTTTGATAAATTTTGTACTACCAAATATTGCTCAAACACTTCTGGTGTCATGAGAGAAAATCATAATCAAATAGACAATACAAAGCCAATTCCAAATTTATAAATGACAAAAATTAAGAATTTTAATATTCTACTACTAACTTTGTGACAAATATCTCCTTCAAGGAGAAATACCATTAACATCTGAATATGTTATATCAATGCGGCAACCACATAGTCATTGCATCCTTTAAGAAAAGATACACAAGTTGTTATTTCCTTCGGGGAACATAATAACTAACCATAATGTACCGATGTGGTTGTAGTAGAAAATATTCTACAAGAATGCTTTTGTCTTAGAATGATACTTAATAAAAATTTCCAATATGTTGTGAGGCAATGATCTTTATGCCACAAAAGTAATATTTATCCTCTGTTATTCTAGCTCTTCAGGAGGTGAGTTGTGGTATTTCTTCATTCACTCCAGGGAATGAAAATGTGCTTCAAAAAAAATATTGAATAGCTCATTGTTTTGTTTAAGCACGGAAAGATACAGTTTCATAATATTTTCCTGCTTCAGGAGAAAAATTCAATTGTTTTACTACTTCAGGAGCAAATTTAAAATACGAAATATTGAGTATATATATTCTCTTAATAATATTACCTCTTCTGGAGGTGAATCGTAATACATTTACATTAAGAGCACGTTCATATTTACAAGTTTTATTAATATTGTCACAGTCACTTCACGGAATGGATTAATATTATCTAAAGTTCTCTTCCTTCAGGAGATGGAACATAATTATCTGAATGTGCAATAAACACATTAAATTGTGATAGCGCCTGACCTCTTTTAATATATTTGCTACTTCAGGAGCAAATCGAGGTATGAATGTAATATAGAGATATTTATGTAGCTTATCTTCAATTGTAACCATAGAAAGCCTAAATTATCACTTCTGGTGGTCATAGGCATATACCACTTCTGGTGGTTACCAAAATTTAGTTGCAATGAGATATATGAAACATAACCACTTCTGGTGGTTGTATATTTCTTGTAAACTCTGCTAGAGTTTAAGCGGATCTAACAATGTTATCCACTTTGTAATCCTTTATTAAGATAATAAGGATGAAAACAAATACCAAAATAGGTATTGTATAGGTAACACATAACCAAGTAGGCGATGATAAAGATATTAAAATATAAGCAAAAGGCTCAAATTAAATTACGAAAATTTGGCCACTCCAGATGTAAGTGATATCTACATCACTACTGCCAAGAAAAAAAACTCACCACCTCAAGGATATATTCAGCCTTATGATGCTGGGAATGAACAAGATCTAACCACGGACGTAAGAGCGTCACCTTACATCAGAGATGAACACTGAAATAGAAATTAAATTCAAAGTAAGTGCTCAAAATGGCAGAGTCCCGTGCTGATAACGTGTTATAAAATAAAGACTGTGAAATAAATAAACCGAAGACAAGTATAGAGAAAGATTGATATATTATTCAACTTCAAACTGACGTACATAATGAACTGAAATCTCCTCTATTTATAGAAGAAAGGAAGCTGCTGTGTAAGCTGCTACTGCAAGCTGCTGTATAAGCTGCTTGTAAGTTGCTTGTAAGCTGCTACTGTATCAGATGTAGATAATCTTCTACTGGAATAATATTTATCCATAACGGAGTACCGAAATGATAAATTTCTTCAGGATGCTTATTTCTAATAGAGTACTAAATAGATAAACATATTTACAGCGGAGTCCCATATGAATAAGCTTTTTCAGGAAGCTTATTTACAATGGAATACTAAATGAACATCCATAATATAATATATATATTTATAACATGGAATAGATTTTTAAAAAAAGGATAGTTTAACAACGGAACATTGGCTGGCGCGCTCTTTACAACTAAAACCCCCCCCCCCCCCCAAACCCCCACCGCCCTTCAGAGTATACATCCGTCTACGCTTTGTCATCCCATTTAGAGGCCAAAAGAAAAGGCTTCTTTAAGATAGTGATCATCTCATCTCAAGATTCTTGATTTTCTAGACACCCTTTTATTTTCAAATGACAGAACCCAAAAGCTGCTGTACAAAAGAATATTTTGAAGATGGGTTATGCTCTTCTGATGATAAAGGTGGAATTTTTGAGGATGGAGTTGAAGAAAAAGTGAAAAAGAAGAAGGAGAAGAGGAATCAGCAGAGAATAATTAGTGAAGAAAAAGGTGATAATTTGATGAGAGATCCACTAATTTTACTTGGTTCAGATATAATGTTGACGATTTTAAGCTGTCTTGACGCGCGCAGCGTGGCACTTTCTCTCCTTGTGTCACGTGGTTGGTGTGCTGTTGCTTCTTCTGATAAGATTTGGAGCTCAAAGGTTTGATCTTTATCTGCTTTTTATGTTTATTACATCACATTAGGCTTCATTTCATGTCAATTACTTAGCAATTTTTGCTTTAAGACTGGTTTAAGAGCTCTCTAGTTTTGTTATGCTTCGTGTCCTGTGGTTGGTATAAAGTTGCTTTTATTGGTTTACTACTTGTTTTACAAAATCTTGAGCCGAGTCTATCGGAAACACAGCCTTTCTACCTTTTAGGTTCATTTCATGTCAACACTTAGGCAATTTTTTGCCTCAAGACTGGGTTAAGAGCTCTCTAATTTTGTTATGCTTTGTGTCCTGTGGTTGGTTAAAGTTGCTTTTTTATTTATTTACTAGTACTTGTTTTACAAAATCTTGTGCCGAGGGTCTATCGGAAAAAGGCTTCTCCACCTTTTAGGTTCATTTCATCAATACTTAGGCAATTTTTTGCTTGAAGACTAGGTTAAGAGCTCTCTAATTTTGTTATGCTTTGTGTCTTGTGGCTGGTATAAAGTTGCTTTTATTGATTTACTACTTGTTTTACAAAATCTTGAGTCGAGTGTCTATCGAAAACAGCCTCTCTACCTTTTAGGTTCATTTCATGTCAATACTTAGGCAATTTTTTCTTTAACACTGGTTAAGAGCTCTCTACTTTTGTTATGCTTTGTGTCTTGTGGTTGGTATAAAGTTGCTTTTATTGATTTACTACTTGTTTTACAAAATATTGAGCCGAGGGTCTATCGGAAATAGCCTCTCTATCTTCACCAGGTAAGGTAAGGTCCGCGTACCCACTACCCTGCCCAGACCCTACTTGTGGGATTATGTTGAGTTTGTTGTTGTTGTTGTTGTACTTGTCTTACAAAAATTGATATATCAAAGTATGAACTTTTACTATTTTGGCAATTTTAGGAGTAGCTAACAATTGGATTATTCTTGGGTCAATTTTTGTTTGCAGGTTGTCCTCTGGCCATTTTTCTAGTTGGTTTTGGGAGGACGATAAATTGTTGAAGATAATTGTCTCTTTTGTTGCTCTTAATTGCTTTATCAGGTACTGAAACATGGATTTTTCAAAGAGCTTTCTTTAGATTAAATCTTCTTTTATTGATGAAGAACGTTAAAATCTTCTTTTGACCGTCTCTGCTTGTAAGACAGTGCAAAATTATGTGAGGAAACATTGTCTTGGTGTTTCTCCTTGCCCATTTGATCTGGGAATTTAGCTCTGTAAAGAATATACATTGAGCTCTCCTAGGTTGATAATTACAATACCGGGGACGGATTTTCCTAGGTTAGCGAAAATTCAATCAGCCAGTTGCAAAAAGTTAAAAAGGCATCTGCTTTATTTCCATCGCGAATCATATAAAGCATATGCTTCCAATACAATCTAATTAGGCTCTTAGCAAAGCAAAGTTTTTGCCTTCTTAAAGCTGAGAAGATTAATGTGGCTATGAACCATGTGTTGGGGGTTCAAATTCCTCTTTGCCAACAATCGGCCCGAAAGGGAAGTATATTTCTCACTGGGGGTTGAAAAATTATGATGGGATGTCCCAAAAGAACGGCCTAGTGGTTGAGGTATGGGAATAACAATTTGAGATCGTAGATTCGAATCCCGACTATAACACTTGGTCTGAGTCCATACTTCAGCTTTGGTGGTGGAGTTACCTTTGGTGACCTATGTTTGTGGGTTGGACTGGATCAATTGAAGTGCGAGCAAGCTGCTTCGTACATCACTGACTAGAAAAATAATCATGACTGGGATATAGTATGCTAAGGAGCACATAAATCTAAAATCTTCTTATAGCAAATCACGACACATTACCCATGAATTTCTACTCTCCTTTTGGGGAGTTCAAGTTGCTTGAACTAATTGTAGTACTTGAGTTGTGGATTATAACCAGTTCAGTTTTTGCTTCTTCTCATTGGGTATTGCAATTCCCATTGCCTTGAGAGTCTTGTTCCAGAATACTGGTTGAACATTAGCAGTCTTAGTTTGGAGAGTTTCCATTAGAGAAGTGAAAATGGTATGTGTTGGGAAGAATTAGAACATTGTAGTACCTTCTTTCTCGGATCCATTCACAGTTTGAAAAGTCATACAAGCTTTGCTCTGTATTTGTTGTTTCGCTCATTACATTTTAATAATCCAGAGTTCATCTATTAAATTGATGTTATCGTGTGCCATCTGCTCTTAGCATAAAAAGTTTTTAATACTAAGGATAGATAAAGTCATGTGCATATTTTATTACAAATTCTCTGCAAGATCAATGATTATGTGTGCATCTCTTTGTAGTGTGAAGAATTATGGCATGACAAAGCACATTTACCTCGGGTAGCAAAAATGATTAGATTTTCAAAGTTGGCTGCTTACTCATTGTCGGTAATGGATGGTGAACGTGTGAGTATTACTATTCTCTCGGTCTTTAGCACTAACATATACAAAATCATTTTCTTAATTATTATTCTTTTTGGTTCATCTGATCCGACTTCTTTTTCATACACATGTATCTTAGAAGCGAGTAACAAAGGAGGATTTATGTGATCATGCGTGGGAGTTCCATTTCACCGAGGTATGAACAGAAGTGCTTATTTCATATTTATCCTTTCTAAGTCTTACCTGGATTTACTTGCTAATTTGAAGTCCATGACTAGGCATTATCCAACCCCATATATGTCATGCATGGCTGCAGCTCGCACCAAATGAGTTAGTAGAACTTGTACGTGCTTGAGAACACTTAAATCTGTGCAACTGCTGTCCAAACGTCCAATTTTTTATGATCTAGCTTTGCAAGTGGTTGGTAAGAAATTAAAATGGTTACTTTCTTTCGTCATTTCTTTCCACTGCTCAAAATATTTACTGCTTTTATTAATGTCCCTGGTCAGTTTCATAGGGCTTCTCTTCCTTCCCCTGCTTTCTGTCATAGGGTAAGGACATAAGCATAATCATTATGTGAAACGCGACTTAATAGAGACTCCTCAGGATGCTCCGGAATATTGGCGAATGCTCGACCCCTACTGGAACGGAACAGGACCTCCTTTACGCCGTTATTTCCTTCCAGATGGAAGTCAGACTGCTGAACCAGATGACAAGGTATGGGGTGGTCATGAGTCTTGCTACTCCATAGTAACTAGCTTGCTTGCGGATGGGAAAATACGACAACACTATGTGAGGATTAACCGTTGGCCACCTATGTATGTTACAAGGAAGGAGGATTGGAGCTGGGAAATGTCTAACAACTTGTGTATCTATAGGAGCATCCCTGATGCTGACAAAGAAGAAGGAACAGGACCTTTGTTTCTACATTACTAGCCTCTGCTTTTGATTGTAGTAATATGTGAAGCAAAACTATGGAGACACTTGTTTTGTCTTCTGTAATTTCAATAAGAGTTTGTGTTTCTTAGATGCAGTTTAGAAATTTTAGGGCTGTAAATGGAAGACAAGAAGTCCTTTTGCAATGTACTCTTTAGACATGATGTTGAGTTTTGGGCTTCTTTAAACTACAATTTCTTGATATTAAGTCTACCAAGTTAATTCTTGCTGTAAGATTTTTCATAAGTGATAAAAGTGTGTGGCGTGTTATGTCATCGTTATCGTTGGTTTGACAAAAACACTTGACGTAGGTAAGTTTTTTCCAGTGTGAAAGTTCGCCTAATACTTTGTTCATCGCCTTGAAATTGGTTATCTGGAGGTCTCTTTAGTTTGGATTATCAAAATTTCTTCTAGTCATGTAAAAATGATATCAGAGAAGTTGCCACAATTATACTTTTGTTTAAGTAGCATACTTGCTCGTGAAGAATAGAAATTCTTAGTCGAGGACTCGAGGATATTTGCTTTCACCACTGAGGGGTTGTAGATACTATTAGAAAGGTGAAAAAGAATTAGGAAATCAAAGCAATAGTAATTAGGAAAACAATCTTTAGTATATAGCTCAATATCAGTAACATCCAACAATAGCCACTGCTAGATTTGGCCTCTTGCTATGTTTGAGGTAACTGGAAAAGGGGTTAAGGAAACATTTCCCAGTAACTGAAAAGAACATCTGAAAATATAGGAACATTAGGAGAATATGGAACTAGCATTGTCTCTGATTATCCAAACTTCCATGAGATAGGACGGAGAACAACCGCGTTAAAGCAAATCATGTAACTTCATTCTAAACATTTGCACAGATTTTGCAGATACATTTTATTCCGATGAGGAAAGAAATCCAAAGGAAACTATGAACTCCACTGAAACAAAACAGTTTTCGTCGTCTCTGCCAACATATTACCAGACATCAGGACGAAGCTCTCCGGTTGCTGGAGGCATCCATTTTCCAGAGTTGTAAACACTTTCACCAACTTTCCAACCGGGAACATCCTTCATGATTCTAGCCTCTTCTTCAAGATACTTCTTCCACTCTTTAACGAATCTGAATAAGCAAAGAAAGCAATAGCATAAACAAAAACAGTCCCCGGACTAGAATAAGTAGACATGAGCCTGAAATGGAAAAAAAAAAATTAAAGTAGCTAACCTTTCATCCTCTTCAGCTTGAAGCATGGGCAAGATAGCCCTTCGAGCAGCATACTTTTCTTCCTTTATTACCCTACATAACAATGCAAATATCATCAGGACCTTTTTTAAGCAAATTTGTGGTCGTCATTGATTTCAGAACCACTGAGCTATGGTGAGCACATCTTCCAATACATAGAAGGGAGTTTTAGGAATATCCTAGTTCAAACAACTTTATAGTCCCTCCAAGAAACACTGTATCAGAGAGCTCAGGCTCCTAATTTCTCAGACAATAACTAGTTAATGATCTCATTAACATTAAGCTGCTAAGAAAAAATGGACCGTAGACCTAATGCAACTCCAAACACTAGCTGATGAGGTTAGAACTGGACAAGACCATAAGGACTACAATCATACCATTAACCAATGCTCAGGACTAGATACTTGGAGCACGGATAACATAACATCAATGTTGTGCCTAGATCTGATACCATGGTAAGAAATGAATCTTTGACCTGACTCAACCTCAAACTATACATGACTTCGCCAATTAAAATAAAAAAGGAAACATGATAAATCCCTAATCAAAATTTTGTAATCCTCCAAACGAAAAAGGAAGCATGATAATCCCCTTGGAGATTGCAAAAAATAATTCATCAAACAGAACAACACACTTAAGTGAAGCTCAGTTGCTTCCTATTATAAAAATCCTAAGTCACCCACTTTCCCAGTTTAGCTTCCATGAATGCCGCCAGAACTTTGGCCCATCTAGACTGAGGCACATATAGGGGTTCATTCTGACCTCAGATCTAAAGCCTGCACTATACCATTTGCCAAATATAGCCAGAATCTGCATAATGGATCTCATTAAGGATTTATTATGATAATCTTCTCTGTGTCGTTAACTGGGTGTCACTGGACTGGAGGGACTACATAAGGATTTCAGCTAGTTCGTAAGCACTAAGAATTTAAAAGAAAAAAGGAGGCTGCTGGAAAAGTCAAGAAATACTTCTTCAGTGCCTAGATGGTCATTTTACATTGAAAAATATCCCTATGTCGCTCATACCATTCAGGATTTCCATAATTTTTGGGCCTTGAAAAGGAGGAAGATGGGACGTTGGCTGCTGGCTATTCTTGCTAAATATAGACACAAACTACAGATGAAGAAGGATTTAAAGAAAAACATAGTCTAGACAAGAAAAAATAACTTAGTCGAAGGCAGTAAATGCATCACAAATTAGCTAAAGAAAATTGATACTGGCTAAAAGCTAACTTTGACATAGGGAAGTACGACACTATGCTGAGAGATTATCTTTTGCATTAGGAGGAGATTATCATCAATTCACTAATTTTATTCCAGTTTTCGATGTCAAGGTCTTGAAGTTATTGGTTTCAATGTCAGCAGACTTCTTCCTGGACAATAATCATAATCCATCACAGTCGAAGAGTTTAAAATAGTGCCACCTAACCAGTCCCGCCAAAAAAGTAAACAAACAAATGTTAAAACAGATAACAAAAGGTAGGCATTTATTAGGAGTATTTATTTTCTAGTGATTCTAGGAACCTAATAGCACTCTCATACTCACTGAGTTTCATAGCCCTTGGAGCACTAAACAGTCTTTATGTTTCACTAGAGGAAGTCATAATAATCATGCTAGAGAAAAGAGCTTGCTTGCTTGGCTATGAGTCTATCCAATTCTTGCAATCAAACTCTTCTCTGGAACTTATTTGGTCTATGCCTCTATGGTGTCTACATGTTCAAGTCTTCGACCCTTCTCCTATTCCTTATTCAATATCTCAGCTAGAATACCACATGAGAATAAAATTTCAGATTGGACACGAGAATGCAGTTAAGGTATGGCCTTGGACATTGGCTGCTGGACGTTGGGTTATCGATGACCAGAGTAGATCACTAAAATTCCTAACTACCCTAGGCAGTTCATCAAGTATTCTTCTTCAGAAAATATACAACCGAAAAGGCCATTAAACGAAAACTGATATGCAATTAACTTAAAGGTTCGTATTTAAAAAAATATTATTATTAATTTTTTTATTTTTTGAGAAGGATCCTCAAAGGTTTCCTGTTAGCAGAGGAGTCTTCCTTGGCCAAAATCATATCTATGAGATCTCTAGTCACTGCAAGCTGCTCCAAGACAATGGCTGGGGTTTGTCTATCCCAGAGAAGACTCCGATCTAGGAAGTATTTAAGGATGGAGTACATTTAGTTCAATGATTTGAACATAAAAATGGCATGGGGGCATATGATTGGCTAGAGATGCTTATTAAATGTGAATGTGCTAACCAGAGGTCCATCTCATGCAGATTCTAGAAGAACCAGAATATGTGTTAAGGAGTTATAATCCATTTACTTTTTTTAATTCAAGATAATACAATCAATAGAACTTAACCAAAACAACTCCATAAGTTCTGAAAATCCAGAATGCCCCTTGGAGTTGGAGCAAAAAAAATTCCACCTAACGTGAGGATCCTGATTTCTAAGACCTCCGAGAGTATGAGGGACAATCACAGTCAACATGCCACATTATGTACTACCTTGAATATGCCGATCAGATAATCAACACGCCATACACTAGTTTCAACTAATCAAAACAGTTTTGCCGAGAACTTTCTGAGCTGGGGAACTAAATAGGTGTAAGGAACCAAATTCTTTAAGTAGCAAACGATATTTCCTTCTGAATGTTTTTGTGAAATAAAATGGTATGTTTCCAATGCTTGACATTTCTATAGCTCAGCCTACTTCATGCAAAGTTCATGAGAGTTTCTTCAAAGACAAAAAGCATCCTGGGTTAAGCCAGTCCGTGTCCCTCTAATTTAAATAACTAGTTTCTTCCACAAGATTAAAGAATCTTACGTATTATATCACTCTTACTGGCTTATACAGATTAAAGGTCTAAAACCTGACTCACAGAGCAGAAGCAGGCACCATGGGAAAATTTGATCAACAAAAGAGCACTTGAACAGATGTCGAGCACCATCTTATCTATTCTAATACTAAAGACAACCTATTCCACACTCACAATGTCACAGTTTGGACATGAAAATTAACATCATCCTTCAGAAAGACCCTCATTATTCCAGTAACAAGTACCAAAACATAGCAGCACAGATAAGAAACTCATGAAAAAAGGATTTGCAACCACCACCAGAGATCAAAAGCCTAGCTCATGACTGATTTCAACTCTACCTTTTACCGTTCTTAAATTCAAAAAACGAAATTTTGCTCATCATGAATCACAACCTAATTGTGCACTTCTCAACAGAATCGCCACCCTTTTCTTCAATCTATTCACTTACCAATTCAAACGAAGTGTCAAATTTCACAACCTTTATCAAATAAATTGAAAGGAAAAAGAACAAAATGCTCCAACTCTTAGCTCAAATCAACCAATGCACACAAATTTAGTAACATTTTTAAGGTTCACAAAGAATCACAAAGTAAACGCATCCACCTCAAATCAAGACAAAATAAACACACCCAAATGAATTCTTTTGACAATAAAAGAAAAAGGGAAATTTATACCCCACGCCTTTTATTTCCTTTGCCAACTTGGTACATACCTCAAAAGAACCAAATCACATAATCAACAACAATTAAGACATACCCAGCTCAAATCAAGACAAAATAAACACACCCAAATGGTTTTTTTCACAATTAAAAAATATACCTACACTTCTTATTCCCAATTCCAACTTGGTACATACCTCAAAAGGAACAAAATTTCACATAATCAACAAAAATCAAGACACACCCAGATCAAATCAAGTCAAAATAAACATACCCAAATGGATTTTTTTTATTTCACAAAAAAAATGTTCCATACCTACGCTTCTTGTTTCCAACGCCGACTTGGTACATACCCCAAGAGAAAGCACCAAAAGCAGTGAGGAAAATGGCCAAAGCACTTGGACCGGTGTTAGGGATCCGACGAGCGAATCGAACCGGTGCAAAACCGCCCGGTGGTGGACCGTCTTGCAATAAAGGCATGTCTTTCACACTAGCCATACCGGCTTTCTTCCTAATCATTGCCTCCGTCATTTTTGTTTTTCTCTACTCTGTGATTTAGAACACTGTCTTTTTGGGAGCTGTTTTGAGGGTTTGGAACAATGGAGAAATACTGCGATGTGGAAATGGTTGAGAGAGATGAATGGTACTGTGGGCCCGGGGAGGATATTAACCAATAAGTGTTTGACACGTGGCTTGAATCTGCGGGTGATCTTGTGAATGTTCACTGCCTGGTGATCATAAAAATATGCTTATTTTGAAATAGTTTTTTTAATGATGTTAGAAATAACTTTTTCCTCTGGAAATGTAGTGATCGACAAAATTATCTAAGAAAGTTTTTGCTAGTAACCATTCGAGATTCATAGAAACAGATCGTATTTGGCTAAAACTTTATTATAATGAAATAATATTGTAGGCATATAAATTTTATTAAAATTAAATCCATAAAATAATTTGAATTATATTTTAAATTCAAGATATATTGATCCAAATAAATACTATGGGCTAATATAATTGAATTAATTATATAAGTTTAATATATGGATTAAATAAATAAGTCTTAATTCATTGGGCTAGTTCATTTAATTGGGCTAAAGTGATGAACCCAATTCATTAGGCCTAAGATTTCATCTTCCTAGAGGCCCAAATGGATGCCCACGTGTCAAATGACGTGGCACACCAAGTCAAACGGAAGAGCCAATAAGGTCATGCCACGTGTCAAAATGACAAGGCATGTCAAGCCAAATCAAAAGGCCAATGAAATCGCGCCACGTGTGCAAGTGACATGTTTTGGTCAATCAAATGCGGCCATATCACACTTCAATTTGATTGGTCGGAAAGAGTTTGTTCTTATCACAACTCCTCCATTCCACAACTATAAATGGGGGGTCTTCATAACCCAGAAAAGACACAGAAGTTATAACAAGAAGCAAGAGAGAGCTCGTGGATCAAACGCCGCAAATTTCTCTACAAGTTTCAAGCTTCAAGTTCAAGTTCAAGCTCAAGAACAAAGAAGAAATCAAGGTCAAGTTCAAGCAATCAAGCTCAAGCTCAAGAACAAGATCATTGCTCGAGGCAACAACTGCATATTCAAGATGAAGCTCAAAGGCCGTTGAATTTATTTGCTATTGGAAAGCAGAATCAGAGGATTCATAGAGATTGTACACTCAAATATTCGAAATAAATACTACGATTGTTGCGATATTTTTCGGTCTTGATTTTATTTTCTCGACGCAAATTTTGTTGTCTGCAAATATATCAGATGAAAAGAATGAGTTTAATTTTTAAAATAAAATTTACGGATTATGAGTAAATTATTTCAAGCAATACGGTAAAAATAAAAATAAAAGAAAAGGATTTGTAGAAGCAAAAAGAAAACAGGAAAATAAAAGGATTAAATTTTTTAAGGGATAATTTGGAGAAATATAAATTTATTGTAAGGATATTTTTATCTTGAAAAAAATTAATTTTCAACTTCTGTTTCTTCCCAAAAGTTAGAATTTGTAGCTTCTTCTCAAAAGCGAAAAATTTGCTTTTGTTGCTCAAAAGCACTTCTTCATCATGGTCAAACACCTTAAGTTTCTAAGAAAATACATTTCGTGATAATTAAAAAAAAAAATGGCCTCCCCAAAACTTGGGCAAACAACCTCTTGGTCTATTGGAAATTTGTGCCCAAGATGATCTCAATGTCACCTTTATCAAATTATAACAAGTTCGTAAGTGTATATCCATCTTGAAATGGGATTATAAATACTCGATAGGTTTGATCAATACTAGTAGAGTCCCTAGTTGGAGTCAACCCCATAAAGCCCCTTATTCTTTTATCGATTATCATGTCGTCACATGCGATAAGCTCATTCGGTATAAGGTATGATGCATATAGAGATAATTATGCGAATGCAATATTTAGTGACAGTTATGTCAACGTATTTCAAGTACTCTCTCTCTATGGCGCATTTCTTTTGTATTACAATGTGATGCAATCTCAATACTCCACGTCTTTCTAAATTGTAATCAACAAATCATGTTAGGGTGCGTTGTTTCTCATGCAACGTCTTACTATCATAGAGTGTTAGGCCTCATTTCTGATGTCTTATCGGATTTCCTAACTCAAACAAAGAGTAGTAAAATTGGATTTGCAGATATATTAGTAAAATTGGATTTGCAGATATACTATTCATTTTCATATTAGTTTTTGCAAAGAATAAGTTGTAGGTTTTAATGTGCATATTTTTTTTTCAATTCGAAACCAAGATTCTAATTGGGAGCTCGAGCAATGATCTTGTTCTTGAGAGATTTGGAATGAGTGCAGGTACCTCGAACCCAAGACTATAGTACAGGACCGAGCCAGAGGTGAGGTAGATCCCAAATACTTGGTCTGGTTTGGTAAGAGATTTCAAATCCCTGAGAGACCCGCTAAAAGGCCACATGTACAACAATTCACTAACGAGGCCCAGGTGCAATGGGATTGGTTAGCCAAGGAAAAGGAGTACAGGGCCCGAATAGGAGCATTGGAAAAACAGGTTCAGGAGCTCCGGTTTGAAAACACCTTGCAAGCCGTAGCTGATGAAGGTGATAAAAAGAAATTGGCCCAGGAGAATGAAGCTCTCAAAGCCCAAATTTAGCAAATGAAAATAGATGCCAGGAATCGGGAAAGAAGTCTATCCGACGAGAGATTGATAAAAGGGTTGAAGAAGCAAGTCCTGGACTGTCAGGAAGAATTGAAAAAATCCGAAGGGAACATGGCAAGACTTCGGGCACAATGGGCAAAGAAGACTGAGGAAAGAGCCCAATTTGTATAACAAATGAAGAAGAACTATGAGGGAACCATTGCTAACATGAAAAGAAAAATGAACACTCTGGAAGAAAAGGCAGCTCGGCGGGACAAAGAATTTTAGGCCGAGAGAGAACAGTGTTATGGGTTAATCGCTGAGATGGAAAAGGAAATAAAATTGTTACAAGACCTTCACCTCCAGGATTCTCAGATTCTAGAGGCTCGTACTCAGCAGATAAGTCGGCTACTCCAAGAAAAGGGCCAAATCAGGGAAAGAATCAGAAACATTGCCAACTATATTGTCATGAAGTGCCAGGCTGGTGAGCGGATGGGTCGTACCACGTTCTTTGCCTCCGTGATGATATTTGTTCGCCAGGTCATGAATGATCTGGATCAGTTGCAAAAGGGTCTCGCACGCAGGCCCGCGGCGATGCCGAGAGATGCCCCGCGGGCCCCAGGATTTGAAGCTTTGATGTATTC